TCAATCTTGGCTCGATGAGAGAAGGGTTGAACTCATGCTTGCCTTAATTGAACCCAGATTTTGGTAAATTGGCCTTCCATGTAAAATTCTGTCCAATATAATTTTTTGCAAGGTTGTTTTAGAACATTTTGGGACATCAAAAATTGGATGGGAAGTGTGCATTGAGTTGAGAGAGAGGGTACAAGGGATACCTAAAGCTAGAATGTCATTGCTTCTTCTTTATCCAAAAAAAAATGTTATTGATTCTTTTTTCTCTATGGTCCTTCCATTCCCCTAATAGTTTTCTTTTGATAGTATATAAACTTGAAAAGATTGTTTGCCACAAAGGTTATTGGACTTGGCCCACTTTATTGGTCAGAGATCAGGAGGAGAGACAATCAAGGAAAGAGGGAGAGGCAGGGAGCTTAAAGTGGCTTCCATATCATGTTGGTGAAGCTTCATAGAGTTCCCTTTTGAGGGAGGGAGGGAGGGAGGGACAATATATTCACGACCCAATGCAATGAGTGGAATTTGATCTGAGTCTATTATTCTTCCAAATCCAAATCTAACCCACCTTCTCCTTGGTTTAATTTCAGTCATTGCCGCTGCTCCTTAAGGTATTAGAAAAGGGTAAACTCCTAGTAGTTTGAAAATTGATCATTATCCTGCCAAGTCCATTAAATCCTTTCCCCTCTCTCTACGTAAAACTTAATTTATGAAATCCGGTCTAAAGGTGCTTTAGGGTCGTGATTTACCCACCCATTTCCGCTGTCAATAAAACTTCTATCCATTTCCGTTGCTTTTTAAACAGAAATTGTTGTCATTTGCTAACGGAACGTGTATCTCTGTTGAACAGAGCAAAACCTTTACATGCCTTTATTTTGTTTCATTTTAAAAGGGCAGCCCTGTGCACGAAGCATCCCTCGTTCATGTAGAGTCCCGCAAAGGGCCACACCCCAAGGGGGTGTAATGTAGTCAGCCTACCCTGGGACAAGCATCACTGGCTGATTCCACGGCTCGAACCCGTGACCTATAGGTTCATATGGAAATAACTTTACCGTTGCTTTTTCTGGAAGTACTGATGTCTATTTCTGTATATATTCCTGTTTCATTTGGGAGCTTTTGATTATGTGTCTTCTTCTTTATGTATGGCTGATCATACTCATATTTTGACCTTTTGGAACAACTTTTGATTGTGGTGGTCTTGTCTCACCGAAGTTAATGTGTCAGTGCGTCTCATAGCTAATACTGAAAACCATTTTGACTGCCTATTTTTAGGATATTTATTGTAGCGGCCTCCTTAAACTACCTAGACTATAAATTATTAATATGACTAAACTGACAGTTTCATCTTTCCTAATTTTGCTTATCTAGCCGAAAAATGCAAATAAGTTTTCATTCTGTGGTTGCAGGACGAAAAGGCGTGAAAGGTGCACAACCAGGGCCAGTATTGTCATGGGCACAACGAGTTAAAATTGCTGTTGGGGCTGCAAAAGGGCTAGAGTACTTGCATGAAAAAGCACAGCCGCATATCATCCATCGTGATATTAAGTCTAGCAATGTTTTACTCTTTGATGATGATGTTGCTAAAATCGCGGATTTTGATTTATCAAATCAAGCTCCTGATATGGCAGCACGTCTTCACTCTACACGTGTTCTTGGAACCTTTGGTTATCATGCTCCTGAGTGAGTCCAGTTCTTAATGTGTAATACAAATATGCAATGAACTTGGCTAATTGACTAAATAAAGGAATTTTAGCTCATGTTTCATAAGTAAAAGGCCAAAGGGTCATTCATTTTTATGCTGATTGGAATTACCTCCTTGTGTTGCAGATATGCAATGACTGGTCAGCTGAGTTCAAAGAGTGATGTTTACAGCTTTGGTGTTGTACTCCTTGAACTCCTTACTGGCCGTAAACCTGTTGATCATACATTGCCACGTGGCCAACAGAGTCTTGTGACATGGGTATAGCCTTAAAGATACTGACATTACTATATCTGATGCACCATTTGTTAGCTGAATTCTTTTGATTTGCAATTAACGTCTCATACCATTTGTAATCAGGCCACACCAAGACTTAGTGAAGATAAAGTGAAGCAATGTGTTGACGCGAGACTGGGTACAGAATACCCTCCTAAAGCAGTTGCAAAGGTATGTCACTAGAAGCAGAAAGTGCTTGACTACTGCAACTATAATTATGCCTCTTCTCCTAAGTTATGTTGATTAAAAATGTAACTCAGCATCTAATTCAGGAGAAGATGGAAGAACATTTTGTTCTATTCTTTCATGTCTTCTTGATTTTCCTAATTCCCTACTAAAATCTGCATGGCTGAAACAGATGGCTGCAGTTGCTGCTCTGTGTGTGCAATATGAAGCTGATTTTCGGCCAAATATGAGCATTGTGGTAAAAGCTCTTCAACCTCTGTTGCATGCTCGATCTGCACCTACTGAAACATCAAATATGTGAATTCTCTCCTTTCCCGCAGCCGCTACTGCATGAAATGATAACAATTAAGATTTGTTTTGTTGAGTTGAAGATGATATTATACTACGAGTAGTAGTTATTTGGGAAATCAGCGGACATACTGTGATTCCCTTGCTTTTTCCCTGGTCGATTGAATGTGTATAAATTTATAAATGCACTAATGGAAGTAGCTTTGCCTATTCTTTTCATGGATTGTTATTGATGTCTTGACCCTTGTGGCCCGACCCTTACGCATAGTGGGAGCTTAGAGCACCGGACTGATTTTTTTGTTATTAATGTCTTGAGTATCCTACTATCAGCAAAGCGGATGAACGAAAGCTGAAACTACGTAGTTTGAAACTTCGGCTTTTCCACCATTGCCAAGATTCTTTGTACTGATTATGTCACAGTTGTGTTTAGCATGAGGAAGAATATGATGTGTGGGGATTGGACTTATACTCCATATAGTATTAGTGGGGTGGCTACTGACAACTACTTTTATAATGATTTAAGTTGAAGCATTGAAATAGTAATATAAGGTGCCGACTCCAATAGGCGATAGGCCCCGGGCCTTTGGTTCAATGGTAAGGACACAACACGTTAGAGAGGGTAAGTGCATGTTACGGGTTCGAATGGGAAAGACTTAGTAGTATTTAGCTAGCGTTTGGACATAGATTTAGTTGAAACTTGAAAAAAGGTTAAAATAGCACGGTATAGCCAGTTTTCGGACTGATCATTCAAAAATAGCCAGCGTTTACCAAGTCAATAAAAAATAGCCACTATTTTGCTGTAGCAGAGACCGATCCAACATAATATACTGGAGTTCAGTGCACCTCTGTATGAACTCCAGCATATTATGCTGGATCGGTATACTTTGCTGGCTCCAGTATAATATACTGGAGACTGGAGCACCGGTGCTCCAAACTCCAGTATATTATGCTGGAGTTCTAGTGTACTTATGCTGGAACTCCATTATATTATGCTGGAGCAACATACTTATCTTGGAACTCCAGTATAATATGCTGGAGTTCAAGTATACTTATGTGGAACTCTAGCATAATATACTGGCATATTTTCCGGGTTTTGAACAGTGTTTTCGCTCAAATTTATCTTTACATGAAAAGTGGCTAAATTTTGATTACTTTGAAACTGGGCTAATTTTGAACGACCAGTTGTAAATTTGGCTATTTTTGAATTTCACCCTGAAAAAGAAGTGTTCTTAAAGTTGGGTTGAAAAATAGTTGTTTGGAAGTGGAAATGTGTTTTCTATTTGAAAAAAATTAAAGTTTTGTGCGAAATTTTTTTTTATCTAAAAAGTGTCCTAAACTAGTTTTTGGGAATTTGAATTTTTTTTAATTTTTTTTTCTTTCAAAAATTGATCATATTCCATGAACAAATAATATTTTGAATTTTTTTTTTTTTTTGAAAAAACCCAGCCAAAATCTATTGCCAAACGGGAGTTTAATGTAAGAGACTTGTGCGCCAACTGGTACTGTATTCAACTTATATGCGATTGAGACATAATTATTGTTGTTATAGGTATCGGGTCCAAGAAGCAAACCAGTAGTCCCAAGAGGTCTTTATTGTCTTTCCTGTAATGTTGAAATTTGGGAGGCAATAAATGGACTACTATTATATAGACCTAAATGGCTAAATATGTGAAGATTAGCTAGCTATTAATCAATGCAAGGAGAATACATCGAGATGGCTGTTTCATTCCCAAGCAAGTAGATAGACAAGCAAAGTCTTGGCAATAGTGAAAGCCCACCCACTACCCTCTCAAAATTGAATGCTAATCTTTAGTCTTGGTGTAATCGGTAAAGTTGATGTCATGTGATCAGGAGGTCACATGTTTGAGCCGTGGTAACAACCTCTTGCAGAAATGCAGGGTAAAACTGCGTACAATAGACCCTTATGGTGCGGTCCTTCCCTGGACTCTGCACATAACGGGAGCTTAGTGCACCGGGCTACCCTTTTTTAATCTTCAATCAGTTCAGCTGCATGGAGTTTGTTTCAGTTGACTAGTTGAATACATAGGCCAAAGCAAGAGTCTTTCAACTACTACTGTTTAATTAGTTCTCATCTTTAAAACTTCAGAAAACACATATTACACGTCATGTATGTATCCTGTACCTATGGATCTAGTGGAGTATGAGAAGAACCTTAAGGTCTCAGGTTCGGTGAAGGTAAAAAACACTAATGAAAGATAGCAGGTACTTAATAAAATAGTTGAGGTATGCGTAAGCTAACCCAAATATCATCGTCAACCGGAAAAAAAAAATAACAAGAGGGCATTATGGCAGTACAACACTAGTGTGGTGAAAATTGGTTTAACGACGTAGGAAATTGCAAAGCTTGTATCAACTCGTTAGACATTTGTGTGCTTCTCCATCGAGGAGTATATGAAAGGTATCTAAGTGCGTAGTTAGTTCTGAATTTAATTAATAAAGAGCATTTGAAAATGTCTTCCAACAACAATAAAACAAAACATCCTGAAACAGTTACAGAAAACCAATTTGTTCAAAAATCCAAATGCAACTCATAATAAATTCTTCATGGTGCAAAATGCAAATGATGTATAGGTTTAGCGGAATAACTATGAAATAGCCAAGTTCAGCGGAATAATTACACTACGAATAATTTAGGGCGTACAACCAATAATCTGTGCCAAGTTTCGGTTTTCTTAAAGGTATTCTGCCTATGAACATTATCAGCAAGACAGTTCAAATTTGATGACAACAATCTCGATTAGAGGGCTAAAAACTTGTATTACAAGTATGCCGCTGCATAGCGTCCGCGATTTTATTTGTCATCTGGAAAATTTTTCTTGAACGTCACGTACACCTCATAACAGATTTCTAAGCTCACCAATTGGCCGGACAGGGAAAAATGGGAAGCACAGCTTTTTAAACACTATGTAAACTTCAATGCCTCCTTTGCTTTGCACGCTTCCATGACTGTGAACCTCTAATCTTCCACTTGTCCACTCCACCTGGCCGGTTATGTTCTTCAATCTCGCGAACCTTGCGTTTTCTGTGAAGCATATGTGGGTCAGAAAGAACATAGTAAGCAGAACAAAGCATGATATCAGACAATACTTTCTTCATAATAAGAAAATGTAAGTGAGGTATACAGCTTTTGCTCATGCATGTATTATTAATAGAACTCTGGACTGTAGATAGGCAAACTATGTTTTTCCGATTTCTTGTTAATAACAAGTCAATGATCCATGAAAGAATGAGCATATCCAATGCAAGCAGGCAAAAAGATAAAATGCATAAAATTAACTCCAATCTAACATTTACGACTATAGTTCTTTGTTCTCAAGCTTAGATCTAAGATTAGTTTGAATATTTCCTATAACTCAAATGAAATCACAAAAAAGGAGGCTTGAGAGCCTGAGGACAAAGCTCAGAATCTCTATAATCATCATGCTCCACATATCTTAGTATGGTGGTAAAGAATCAACGAGCTTTGAAGCTGAAATGATACAAACATAAATCAATAGTAAAAGAAGATCTAAGGATTCCCTCATTCTCTGAGTATTATATTAAGATATCAGCTCCCTCACTGTCTGAAGGTTAACTTCAAATTCAGTCCGGTCCCCTTTCACCATAACCCCGATCAATACAACCCTATTACCCATCTAAAGCAAGCATACCTGCCCGACAAACGCACTGAGAATGTTTTAGTATCCATGAACATCCTTTAGCAAGTTCATTTTTTACTTCTGTGCAATGAAATTCATTGAGCTGAACTTGACAGTTAAGCAAAAGCTAGAGAAGCCTGAGTGGTTAAACTACTGAGAGAGGGATCCTTTATCACTAGCTGCCAACACTGCTAATTTCAGAAAAGCAGGCAAATTCATTCATTCTAACCTGATTAGACATATAAATCTCCAGCTCAAAACAATACTGCTAGAGTTCAATTGAGCAGACCTGCTAAAGTAGTTGCATAGATCCTTTACTTTTATTTATTTTCATGACTTACCTATACAACCCAAGTTTGCGGTCGGAAAGTAGCTCATCAGTAATTGTTGTCTTTCTCTCCTTCTTAGTCAGTCTGCTTGAGTAGTATTCAGATGCTGGCTCTATTACTGTGCCGACCTGCTCAAATTTCAAACCATCAGAGTCTTGCCTCTTGCCAACAGGAAACTAAGATGCTGATAAAAGTGAATGTGTGATATATAAATAGTTTATGACATAATAGACTTGCCTGGAAATATTTAGGTAGTGCTTTTGACTTCAAATCACTCTTCTTGTAATGCCTTTTTGGATCCATGGCACCCCTTAACTGAAGCAATCCGATTTTCAGAATTAAGAACTTAATTATACAAGAAATTACTGCAACTAAACGAGGCATAAAAATGAAAAAACTTGGCAATACATCACAGGAAAAAGTGGCTATTACGCATGATTGGAATAAGTCCATGTTTGGCACATGTACTCGGGACTGTCAATAAATTCACTGCTTGTCAACGGAATCCAAGAAAAATTACAGGTAGAACTTGGATTATCGTACTGTGTTGAAGAGCGTAACAATTATATACACCAGATGGAATATAACATTTTTGGTTTATTTATGAAGTGTGACGGGATATAACAAATGAATCAGAGATGTCAATTAATATGCCTCTTTAGTCTAATCTGCTGCGAATATGTAACAGGGAACCATGAAGACAACCTTTTTACACTTTTAAGACCACAAAAATCAGTTAATAAGGAACACAAAGCTAGAGAGTGGAGCATCACTAAGTTGCATACATGTATTTTTTCTGAAATACGAGTAGGAGACTATTACACATTCCAATTCTACCAAGATTACTGATCATGGACAAAGTGTTCAGCGGAAGTAGAGCATTAATCAGCAACAGAGTAAAGTGTACATCTCTATTTTTCTCACTCCCATCTTTACTCAAGGAAAAGGTCTATTGATGTTCAACATCTCACAAAACAACTAGGGTTCCTAAGATAGATGAGCCAAGAATTCCCACAGAGATACACCCATCTTAAAATGTTTAGCAAAATCGACATTAATTGTTATGAATTAGTATCACGAATTCAAGATCAAGTCCTAGACAAGGGATCTTCTTCTTTTTCTTTTAACAACGGCAATACAACAACACACTCAGTGTAATCCCACAAGTGGGGTCTGACCGTCTGGGGAGGGTAATGTGTACGCAAACTGTAACACTCCTCAAATTTATAAAAGTTTCAAGACACGCTAAATATAGAACTTAATTTTTTTTTTAAAAAACTGAAATTATACTTCTATTACGGATTTAAACCCGTGTGATTAATTTTGAGTTACTTCTCTATTTATAAATAATTGGATATACAATTAGGGAAATATTAATAACTTTAGTATTATTAATTATTAAAACTAGGTATAATTAAATACTAGTCAAGTCAAAACAAAAAAAAAAGAAGAAAAACAAAACAAAAAAGAAAACAAAAAGAGAACTAAAAGGAAAAGGGCACGTGAGCCTTAAGCCCATAAAGGACTCTTGGCAGACAAAGGCGTGAAAGCCATTGAAAGATAGGAGTCCACTTTTTGTTCAAGAAACAAAAGCCGTTTCAGCGAGATACTCACGCAGGCAACGGAAAATTCTAGGGTTCTTCATAACTCACTTACTCTTGAACTCAGGTATATAAAATTCTCTATTCTCAATTACCCTACAATAGTAATAGGTAAGAATTGAATAGTTAATTCAATTCTTTCTCTGTATCAATAGTAAATACCATGTTTAGGTGTGAAACTTTGAAATTAATTAAAATGCACTGGTTGTTGTAGAATCAATTGTTTGACGAGTATAAATTGGACTGGGGTCTACGTATTGGCTCGAGGAGTATTGAGGTGAGTTGATATAACCCTTTACTAAAGTGGTTTAACTCACAAAAGCACGCACAGAAGGTGTTTGATGAATTGCATAAAAGAGTTAATATATACTTAATTGGAGTAGTAAGTGCCTATTAGCTTATAATTATTATCTAGCTAAAGTTTAGATGATTATTTGGATATATGTGCATAAATTTTAGATTTTTATGTTATTCTGATACGCCACCTTCATGTTGAAAATTCATGAAGGATCAAGAACCTTTGTAAATACTTTTGAATGTTTATTTCATTCTTATGACATGCCTTACATTTAAGGATACCAGTATGAGTATGTATAAAAGATTTAGACTTGAAAAGTCACAAGAAGAAGTTTTAGAAAGAAAAAATTTTTGGGAGTATCCTTTATTCTGAGAAGGGGTCATCGTCCAGGCCTAGGGTCCTGACCAAGGAGTTGACTTTCTGAAACTACTTGTGCCAAAGTGGGGAGCACACGAGCCGAGGGTCTCGTTGCTGAGAATTTACTTAGCCATGCTAAG